TGTCACTGCCAGGGTTTTCATTTCGTGATTGGTTTTTAAAATATAGCTTGATAGTAGTCTTTTTATTTGTAGTATTATCAGTGTCTAATCAGAACATTATCATTCTTTATTCAGTGATGCAATTTACAAGGTTTTGCTATCTTCTTAACTTTGGCTCTGCTACAGGGCTTGTGTGCTTGTGTGTGTGTGTGTGTCTGTGTGTCTGTGTGTGTATGTGTGAACTTTATCTGATTTTATAAGTTCCCTTCCAGGTCTATTTTTCTGTGATCAATAAAGTAATTGAAAGAGAATGAACAGAAATGTGGTATATAATAAACCAAGTGGGAAGTCATGCTTCCATTCTACATATATATATTGTATATTGCTGTGTACCAGGAGCTGTGTAGGCTACATAGTTGTAAGACACAGTCTTTGCCCTCAAAGAGCTTATTCTATATTTATTCCAATAAACAAATCATAGTACTGCTTGGGTTCCTAATCTGTTGGTGGTTCCCATGCTTGGTTGATTTACCTTTCATCAGGAGAGCAGTCTAGGAAGCTCTTTAATCTAAACATAATGAATTTGAATTTGAGATTTTGGTGCCAGCCATCATGAAATAATAATAATAATTACAGCATTGATAATAGTAAACAGGGAGTGGAAAGAGGCAAGTGGGGACACATATAAAGATTTCCAGGAGGTGATACATTCTGGACAAGGTTGAGGAATTTTCATGGCTCAGTAAAAAGAAAATACCTTCGGGATGGGAGGGGTGGGGGGGGAATACTAAATAGGCAATAGACAAGTGGTATCTTGGGTGAAGGGTGAGACAGTACACAATACAGGGGAAACTAACACAACCTGTACAAGGAAAGGTCATGGAGGCCCCATGGGCACATCCAAACTCCCCGAGGGACTGAGTTGCTGGACGGAGGGCTCTGGGGACCATGGTCTCGGGGAACATCTAGCTCAATTGGCATGACACTACTTATAAAGATAATGCTCTACATTCTACCTTGGTGAGTAGTGTCTGGGGTCTTAAAAGCCTGTGAGCGGCCATCTAAGATACTCCACTGGTCTCATCTCTTCGGGAGGAAGGGAGAATGAAGAGAACAGGATACAACGAAAAGATTAGTCCAAAGGACTAATTGTCTACAGCTACCGAGACCTTCACCAGACTGAGTCCAGTACAGCTAGATGGTGCCCGGCTACCACTGCTGACTGCTCTGACCAGGATCACAACAGAGGGTTCTGGACAGAGCTGGAGAAGGATGTAGAGCATAATTCTAACTCACAAAAAAAAAAAAAGACCAGATTTACTGGTCTAAAGGAGACTGGAGAAACCCCGAGAGTATGGCCCCCAGACACCCTTTTAGCTCAGTGGTGAAGTTACCTTCGCGGTTCACTGTTCAGCCTGCGAGTGGACAGCCCAGTAAAACCAAGAGAGTAACGAGGTACAGGAGTCCAGTGACAAGGCCCAGAAGGCAGAAGGGGAGTAGGAAGCTGATGAAAGGGAACACAAAGTAGAGTAAGGATATCGTTGATGTGTTGTGAGATTGTTAACCATTGTCATAGGGCAACATTTGTAGTAACTGTTAAATGGGAGACTATTTTGTCCTGTAAGCCTTCATCTTAAGTGAGAATAACAGCACAATTAGAAGAGCGTAGTCAATGTCACTTAAATGTGTATGTAAAAAAAATTTTTGAAATGGCGTATCTTTGGCTATGTGTATTTTCACCAAAAAAAAAAAAAGTTGAGAATTTAGAGGGTTAAAATGTTGTGGGGTTGTTAACCAATGTCATAAAACAGCATGTGTGTTACTGTTACATGAGAAACTATCTGTTCTGTAAGCCTTCACCTGAAGTACAATAAAATATTTTAAAAAAAGAAAAAAAAGAAAATACCTTCAAGAGTCAATTTAAAATTTCAATTAGACAAGAGTGTCACTTCTTTGGTGATAGGTGGGGAAGAAGGCTTATGGGAGAAAGTGAGAGGGGTAAATTTTATTCACAACCTTTCTCCCAAATAGAAAGTTCTTTTTGATTTAACTGTGAGTTCTGGGAAAGCAAGAGGTCCTGTTGGTTGATTGAGGGGAAAGAGGAACACAGATCACTGTTTCTCCAAAGAGCAGAGCAAACTGGAGAGGAGATGGAGGCACTGATAGTCTTAACAACAACTGAATAAATAAAATCCTTTCTCTGGAAAAATATATGTATAAAATATTTAACTGACATTAAATAGTAACAGTGAATTAATGAAAACACCCCAAAACACTTTTTTTTATGTAGGAAACTTTTTCCCTTTAAAAAATTATGTTGTTTTAAAACTCAAAATCACTTCAGATGTGATGCAGGCAGAAAGTAGTGTGGGTCTATGGAGGCGTGAGTGCTACAAGAACGAGGAGAGATGGAATGACCTCCATGTTAGCTTCTTATATCATTTCCTGCCAATTCACTATGGTAAGAAGGGTCCAAGTTCAAGAATTCTGTGATTGAATGGATTGCTAGGTGCCAGATGCTCCCAGTGAATCCCAGCACCACCTCCCCCTCAGTACATGTGTGGAAAGGGTAAGGAAAATGCAAGCCATTTGCACCTGATTCTGACACCATGTGTCTCCCTTCTCTGCTTGTGGGCTCTTAATGGGGAAGGACAGTACCTTCCACCTGGCATTGCCTCTGAGTAGCTTTGTGAACTCCTTTGGACTATTATGTTGGTTGGTACTTTGGCTTCTTTGGCTCCCAGCACCAGCTGATGCCCTGAGCTGAGTCCCAGTTGGGCAGGCTCTATTGCTCAGTGCTGTAGCTGTCTCCAGGGCATTGTTCTTGAGACTTCCAACAGGGCAGATTTGTGCAGTTGGCCCATCTGGAAAAGATCTATAACAAGTAGAGCTCTGTGCAATAAGCTCATCTCCATAGTCCACCCCAACCCCCACTACCCCCGCCTTTGTGCTGCAGTAGCCTGACACCCCAGCACCGCCATGGAGAGTATCAAAGAGATACTCTCTGCTCCTTTCAAAGGGGTATTGCTTGTGGCTTCTCATTGATTGGCACTACCTGGGCAGAAATGGGAAAACAGGGACCTTCTACCCTCTCTCAATTCAGTCTTCTCCCTGAAGCCAATTCTTTTGTGTTGAATCTCCTTGGCACCAGATTGATAGTTAACATTGCCAGTAAAATTGACCAGCTACCCTAGTCATCTGAATGCCCTCCCCAAAGCCAACAGGCAGACAAGAGGAGTATATAGCAGTGAACAGTAAAGGCAGACAGACAAGCTCAATAGGAAAAGGGGCTGAGCTCTTGGTTTGACTGTAGGATTTGGTTTGATCATTAGATTTATTGACGTTCAATTTTGAACACCATGTTGAAGGAGGGAGAAAGACAGAGAGAAGGAGAAAGGGAGGGATGGAGGGAGAGAGAGAGAGATTGGATTCACTGAAATTGTTCATTATTCTGGATCCAGAGAAAAGGACAAGATGTTTAAAATATAATTTGATCACCTCTTTGTTCCAGCTGTTAGCCCTACACTTTCTCTAATCTCTCCTGTTTCTGTTCTTCACAGTTAGGTCATTTCAAAGGACTCCGTGCACCAGGCCCATACTGCCCCATGTCCCGGTGGTATGTCAGGCCTGAAATGGGCTCTTCCACACCAACCCTCTCTACTCTGACATTTCTGGTAGCTTCAACCAACAGCTACCCCTCCTCACTGTGGAAGAAGAAAGGTAGCAAGAGAAAGCTGAAGAAAAAAAACTCTGATTTATGATTCTCTAACTCCCACAAATACTACCCTGAGGTAGGCCAAGTCAATGTTTGTCCAGGTTAGGGGTCCTCTATATGGCATCCCTCTCTAGGAACCTCAAAGCCTACTCTATGCCTGACAGTTTTGCATCACATCATTATTTGCTCTCCAAGAGGAGGCAAAGGAGCAGGTTGAAAATGAGGGGTCCTGGGAAATAAAGAGACTTTGGAGAAAAAACAAGAAACAAATGAAAACTCAGCCACCAAAATACTCTCTGAAGATAGTTTCTATATTCCATTCCTCCTGGGTCATACTACCTTGGGTCTGCCTTTTCTTGAAAGTTTTCTAGTATTATCAAGTGAATTACTTAAAGAATAAGCATTTTTCTCTTTTTATACTCACCAGGAGCCTAACTGACCCTGTTGCCATGCTAGCTAGTTAGGGAATAGAACAAATTGAGTTCAGGTGGATTTGGAAGCATATGCTATCTGAAAGTCCAAGGTTCCTGCCCCCATTTTAACACTGTTGGGCATTCTAGGAGGCTTGAAGACCTCTCTGTTGGGTTATATAGCAATGCCCTACCCCAGTGCAGCCCATGACTATTCTAACCTTGCTGAGAGGTGGGGAACCTGTTATCTTGCCTTCCTTCAACCAGTCAAGGAAACCTGACTGGATCACACAAGGGCAGCACTTGTGGAAGGGAAAGACTGCCTACTTGAGCCTGTGACAGAAGAGTCAGAGAACACAGTAAAGGCCAGGCTCTGCGTGGGGTGTGGTGGGAGAAGAGCAGTGCAAATTAAGATTAAAAAAAAAAAAAGCCAAAATCTAATAGCCCTGGTCTGAGTACTCTTGACAATAGTATTAGAAAACAGAGAGGCTCCAGCAAGGGCAGAACTTCACTCTGGCCCCAGGAACATGGCCAAACCTTAATCTCATGAGAAATGGGAGAGCATGGGGGAAATCTGGATTAGGGTAGATAAGCCATCTTTATAAGTACAGCCACCGCTGGCACCATGCAGCATAGGCTCACATAGCTTTGGGTTTGGTAGTTGAAATTCTGACAGGAAGGAACTGTCCAATCCCTGATGGAGTCTAATGGAGGGGGAAAGCCCACCTAGAAGGAAGCAGAAAGCCAGCAGCTAGACTCTATAGCCCCCACCCTATTCACAGTGCCTGGTGGATATCTTCTGATCGTAGCACTTTATAGACAACCCAGTAGAAGATGTTGAAAATGAGGAAAGTGAAAGGGAAGACAGCCCGGGAGATGGTGTCGATCCTTTTGGCTCAGTCCACGTACAGTTTCCGCATGGTTTCTCCCTCCCTTGGAGGAGGTGCTGGAGGTTGGGGGCTATAAATGCCAGAACCTTCCATTGGGCCTCCATCCCTTGCCTGAAGGCAATGGCCAAGGCCATAGCCACGGAAATAGAAGAGACTTTCTCGGATGATATCTTCCTCCTGGAATTACAAGGAAGAAAAAGGCAGAATTTGAGGTCACAGCTCTAAGGCATAGGCATAGAGACCAGACCACACAAAAAATATCTCATAGGTGATGCTATGCAGACAAGGTGGCTGGGTGCACAGGTCCACCGCATGCTTTATTATGGGCACAAAACTACTCAAGAGATGTTGTTGTTATTGTTGTTAGGTGCCGTCGAGTCGGTTCTGACTTATAGTGACCCTATGTACAACAAAACGGAACACTGCCTGTTCGTGCGCCATCCTCACAATTGTTGTTATGCTTGAGCCCATTGTTGCAGCCACAAGAGACAGATGTATGCTAAGCAGCTATATATGGTATATGTTATGATTCCATTTGCAGATTGGCCCTGAGCTGCCTTTTGAAAATGCATCACAACATTTAGAGCCATCTAAACCAGTGAAGTGCCAACCCACTGTGAGAGGGGGGCTAATAGGCATCTCAATGTCAAGTTATCTCTGACTGGTAATAAATAGAATAAACAGAATAAAGCCATTACACAGCAGAGCTGAGAGATTTAGACTTGGTGAACTTGACTTTAATGACTTTCAAAAGGTACAGAATTAGTTCTCCTTGTACATAGTATCTTTTAAAAACTGTTTATCTTGACTCAAAGCTAAAAATTCTAAAAGTTTTAAATGACCCTAAGGCGTTATCCAAATTAGGGTAAATCTGATCACTCTATTGCAGACACATGTACTTCTCCGCAAATCAGCAGATTTTAACATAAAAACTGTTGCCATCGAGTCCAACTCATATTCATAGTGACCCTATAGGACAGAGTAGAACTGCCCCATAGGGTTTCCAAGCCTGTAAATCTTTATGGAAGCAGGCTGCCACATCTTTCTCCTGTGAAGCAGCTGGTCGGTTTGAACCACCAACCTTTCAGTTAGCAGCTGAGCGCTTAACCACTGTGCTACCAGGGCTCCTTAGATTTTGACATAGAGGTCAGTATATCCAGGGTAACATTTATTAGCCAATGCACATTCTACTCATGTACATTCCATTCTATGTCATATCCATACTATCCATACACATTGTTCTTTTATAATCTATAAGATTATGATGGACACATGCATTATGATAAACACATTAGCACCAAAAAGGTAAATTTTAAACCAGCACTAAGTAATGTAGCTGACTACAGAAAATTCATTTATCCAATAGTCTGTTAGCTGACAACCTTAAGTAGCTATAACACAGTTTGGAGCCAGGAAGTAAAGAGAGAAAGATAGGAGAGGGAGAAGAAAAGGGAGAGGAAAAGGGAACCAGAAGTCCCTGGGGTGGCCAACAGAGAGAGCTTTACTCTTTTAAAGAGTCCTTAGGCCCCACCCAGGGCCTATTTACTCTTATTTTATATACAGCCCAAACAAGCACAATTTTAACTACATCCAGATGACACACTGCCATCAGAAGTGATGGTTCGCAGCCTGGAAATTAGACAGAAGACAGGGAAGTATATGCCAGAATCGAGACATGCTTCCATCAAAAGATGCCTATAATTTTTTTTTTTTTTTTTAGGTATTGATGCTTAAAGGAGTAAAAGCTTCAGCTAGCTAAGAAATCACCTTGAAATGGAATGCCTTCTTCCAGGATGACATCATCTACCATCCTGGTTTGCTCAGGACTGAGGAGGTTCCTGGGATGTGGGACGTCCAGTGCTAAAACTGGGACAGTCCAAGGCAAACCAGGATGAGTTGTCACCCTACCACTACCTGAGCCATTTCCTACAGATTATAAGAACAATGTGTCTGGATATTGTCTGAATATGACATAGAAATATGTACAGTGTGGATAAAGTAGGTTTTAGGCACTATGTGCAGTTAGACGGACATCATAGGGTCTTTATAATAGGTCCTCTGCAGCTATTATAAAAGAAGAACCAGCAGCCATCGAGTTGATTACGACTCATTGTGACCCCACGTGTGTCAGAGTAGACCCGTGCTCCACAGGATTTTCAATGACTGGTTTTTTGGAAGTAGATTGCCAGGCATTTCTTCTGAGGTACCTCTGGGTGGACTCAAACCTCCAACCTTTCAGTCAGCAGCCGAGTATGTTAACAGTTTGCACCACCCAGGGACTCTGCAGCTATGGTAACACACTGAAAAGTGTAGTTTGTAGATGAGACATTGGTGTGGCAGGGTCCCAGTTACCCTTGATTATTATGTTGCTAGAAGTTGATCTCTTAGCCTAAGGGCAGGCCCTTCATCAGGGCCGGACAAACTCAGACCAGAGATTCAGCAACATATTCCATGTCTTTTCTGTTGCCTGTGGGCCCATAGCACAAACTTGGGAAACTGCATCAGCACTGTTCACTGCTGTATACCCAGTGCCTAGCACAGTGCCTGGCACTTAGTCGGTATGCAGTATGTAGTTGTTGAGTGAATGAACTGATGAGTCACATGCCTCAGAAACTAGGACAGGGAATGGCTTTGTGTTCTTGTGAAGCCAGAATCCTCTCAGGGTCTCTAACTGAAGAGTCTATTCAAAAGAGAATCTTACTAAGTTACAAAATGTTCGGTGGGAAAAACGTTTACTCCCTGCTCTACCCCGCACAATGGACTGATGTCCTTTCGCTTCCAAAAAGGGAGCAGCACCTTTGGTGTAAGAAAGAATCTCTCTAAGGCTGTCCAACAAAGGCTGCCCAACCCTTGATTTTGCCAGAGTCTTTGTGGAGAGAGTTGTACATGTGTGTGCTGAAGGCAATCCACTATGGGTGTTGTGCTTGGGCCCTGTGTTGTTTTAGTGGGGCAGCCTTGTGCCCAAGGATGGAAAATGGGGCTGGCTTAGCTCTGCTCAAAGTTATTTCCATCCCCTCATTCACCAAAGGCCTGGGCTCACCTCACATGTGTTCTATAATTCATTTTCACACTACTCCTACAACGGAGGTTATACTGCAGATGAATAACCACAGGCAAATAAAATACCTCCCAGGTAATTGAAAAATAAGAGAGGTAAGGAAAATGATTTTCTTTTTTGCTTTCCAGTTCAGGGTACCTCAGACCACCCTGTTCTCTACTTCTCGTCATGACCCCCTCAGCCTCTCAGCTAAAGGAATACAAGCCTGGAATAGCCCTGTTTGCAAAAAGCTCTGAAGGAGAAAATTGGATCCAACTACTGTTTCTGATTCTATAGATCCAATTATTTTCCCTCTTTTCCAATCACTGTAAATCTAAGGGGAATTATTTGGAAATATTTCCCAGGCTTGAAAGAGCCATTTCATACAAGAGAGAAAATATGGCCAAATGGAGTATGCTGCCCTTGGCTCTTTCTGATTTTAACATAGTGTACCTCTTGTAGTTGGGGGAGCAAAGATGGGTGACCTGAAATCTAAGGGGTGGGGAGGCTGGATTTATCTATTTAGGCTAAATTCTGAGTTTGTGTTGTGTGTGTGTTGGGGAGGGACAATGGAGACTTAAATACCACTTGGTGGCTTCTGTGGATGTTGAAATAGAATATTTTTTGCAGTTATCTACAGGGAAAGGACTGAAGGGCTAGAGAGGGAAGATAACCCAAAACCAATCTAGGTCTGGAATGCACAGTGTAGGAGATAAGGTGTGGAGGTGGGGAGGAGTGTGTTGAGGAATGGAGACAGGCAAGCAGGTCTCTGGGACTGAGGCTCTGAGAAGATTTGGCCGTACTTTGAAATTTGTTCCACTTCTCAAGTTGTTCTATTTATACTGGCAAGACTTTCTCTGCCCAGTTTGAGACAGAGCCCTCTCCAACAAGCCTGCAAAGGTGAATTGGTGGGCTGGGTTGCATGGCTGCTGTGTCCAGAGCTAAGACCTGTTGAGATTATGAACAAGCGAGCCAGATTCTTCCCTGTGAAGTTTACAGATTCAGTGGGAAGACAAAGCAGTGGTTAGGCATTCAGCTACTAACCCAAAGGTCAGCGGTTCAAACCCACCAGCCACTCCACGGGAGAAAGATGTAGCAGTCTGCTTCCGTAAAGATTTACAGCCTTGGAAACCCTATGGGGCAGCTCTACTCTGTCCTATAGGGTCCCTGTGAGTCAGAATCAATTCGACAGCAACAGGTTTGGTTTTTTGTTTGGTATACATGACTTAAGGAGCCCTGGTGGTGCAGTGGATAAGAGCTTGGGTGCTAACCAAAAGGTCAGCAGTTTGAACCCACCAGCCCCTCCTTAGAAACCCCATGGAGCAGTTCTTCTTTGTCCTATAGGGTTGCTACGAGTTGGAATCAACTCGACAGCAACAGGTTTGGTTTTTGGTTTTGTAGTGCAGTGGTTTAGTGCTGGGCTGCTAACCAAAAGGTGGGCGATTGGAGCCCACCAGTTGCTCCACGGGAGAAAAGACCTGGTGATCTGCTCCCATAAAGATTCCAGGCTAGGAAACTCTATAGGGCAGTTCTAGTCTGTCATATAGGGTCACTATGAGTCAGAATCAACCTGACGGCACACAAAAACAACAATACATGACATGGAAGGAGAACACTATGCAGTGGAGATGGGTGGTTGAGGAGAGATTAGAGAAGAGTAAGCTTAAGTCTGGAGCTGGATGAATGGCTGACTGGCTCCAGAATACCCCTAGCTTGCTCTTGGCGAAGGGCTCCCTGATGATCCTATGGATTCTTCCCCATCCCTCCTCTCAGACTGGGGACTTTTGCGTCTCCACCTGGAACAGTAGGGTCCAGACAGAGGCTCTAGACATGGATCAACTCTCCATCAAAATTTCCAGCCTACTAAGTGACCTCCAGGCTTCCTGCTACAGTTCTACGGGGATGGCAGTGCCTTTAGGAGACTCACGAAGGGACATGACTAATGCATAGGTTCAGATTTTGAGGTTTTATTCACATCAATAATAAGCCTCAGCCCACTTTCAGGCAGGCTCCAGGAGCCTAAGCAGGGCCCAGGCTATAGTCATAACATTGTAATAATGGAGCACTGGTAATGACAAACTCCATTATGAGCTCAGGATTGGCCTATATAAGAGCAGGAGGGGACAGGCGGTGGGCATTTGGGGGTTGGAGAGGTGCAGGGAAGGGGGTGGGACTAGTGTCAACCTGGGCTAGCTCTGCAGTAACTGAGGGAACACCCACACAGGCAACTTAGATGATAAAGGACTCTGGACTGGCTGGCAGCCTGCTCTTCATTTCTAAGGTAGGCATTGAGAAGCCATCAAGATCAAAACACCCTTAAAGAAAGGTTTTGGTACCTGCAGGTTTGACACTGCAGAAGAGAGGGTGGAGACAGCTAGCTTAGAAAAGAGTGGTCCTCTTTTCTTACCACTTTTCCAAGTCTACATTTCTTCTTTCTAGTCCTCTGTTTGGGATTTTGTTGTTAGTTGCCCTGGAGTTGATGACAGGAAAGTTTAAAGAGAGGATTTTAAGTCTCTTGAATGAGTACTACTCAATGAGCTGCAGTTGTGGATCAATCCACTAGAGGGCCAGCTGCCCGGGGCCCAACTAAAGGACTAAAGTGAGGCAAGACTTGATAAATTTGGACAAACCACGAGATCAGACAGGAGCCCTACCCTCAATCGAAAGGGTATTTAGCAAGGGACATGAAACCCCAGAGGTAGTTTGTGAGATATTTTTAGTGTGGACATATGGTAGGGGTGCCCCAGGACAGTTTAGGCGGTGGGTGGGGTGTTATGAAGAGAGAAGTGTCCCTGATAGGCCAGAGCCAGGACTTGAACAATGGGCTCAGATTACTGTTTTCTAATCTTCCAAAGGTCATTGTATGCTTGCTTCTTTGGCTTTGGAGCCTCTAGAGTAGGCAGAAAACTAGGAGCCAGAGTTTGACAGACCAGAGCTCTGTGGCTCTGATAATTAAGCAACAAGTAAGGTTCAGTAAGGGCTTTCAGCTTTGCTCATAATTGGGCACTTGCTTCTGTAAGGGTGGCCCAGGCCACCCTCTGGTGTCATGACAACTTACCTGGCACCTATTGTCTGGGCAGTTGGGGGTAAACTGACTCTGTTGTCCTGACGATGAGATTCCTATTATATTTCCCCAGGTGATCACTTGGCTGTAGAAGAAATGGGGTTAACAAACAAGAGTAGGGGAGAAGAACAACTCAAGCCCAACAACTCTGAATCACTCAGTGAAGATCATGCAGAAGAAACCCAACAGCCACAAGAGGCAAGTGATGGTTTTTCAATTCCAACTTAGTTACGGGAACCCTTTTATAATGCTCCCCTAGAAAAGCCCTTGAATTCTCAGCCATTAATCAGTGTATGACAACATGGGTGCCTTCCTCCTGGGTGGGAGGAGGGTCAGGGGAACCATTACTAATTTTCAATGCCCTTTCATATTAAATAACTTCATAAAGTCCTAATACTGGCTAAAATTATTTTAGTGCTTACTGTGTGCCAGGCACTGGGCAAATGTTATTAATCACTATACTATATTGCCCTATAGGGGTTATTGTCCCACCGGACAGATAAGAAGATAGAATCAAAGAGATTAAAGTACATAGCTTATCTGAGACCAGCCTGGGACTAGAATTCAGGGGTCCTGATTGTTCTGATTGCAGCCCTAGTTTGGGTCTTGGTTTGTGGGAGGAGCAGTAGAGAGGAAGGAGTCCAAAGGATAAAGAAAGTGGGCCCCTCCCAAGTTGTATTCGCCATGCGTTGGCGCCTCTGCCTTCTTCGAAGTCTCATGAATTCCTTATGCTGACGAGAGACAAAATTGACAGCAGCGTACTCCAGCAGGGCAGCGAACACAAAGAGCAGGCACACAGCCATCCAGATGTCGATTGCCTTCACGTAGGACACCTGCAACATCCACCAACAGAGCCATCAGCCTTCTTGGAGTCCTTCCATGGTCTAACCAGTGGATTGCCAGCCCATATCAATTGCCTGTTATTCTTCAGTTTTATCCTGAATTTTTTCTGATTTTTAAAGAAGCTGTCCACGATATGTCCCATTGTCTGAAGGCTCATGTCAAGGAGATCGGGCTACCCATCTTCCTTCACCTCTCTGCACTCTCCACCCTCTATTTCCATCTACCTATCCTCCCTATACTTTACCTTTCTCTCTTTCTTCTTTTTGTAATTGTATTTCTGCTTCTTATAATTCTTTTCATTCTTGTCTTCTTCTGATTCTTTTTTTCAATAAACCAGCAATGAACATGAACACTGGATTTGTTCGCCCTCTGTTATTTTCTAGGGTCCTCACAGCCACTGTGATAGTTCGGCAGGGCTCATTATTCCCGTGTGAGACACATGAGGACACTTAAGGCCCAGAGAGGAAGGGTGGAGGAGACGATTGCCCAGTGAGAAGGTGGCACTAGAACTCGGGGGTTCTGGACTTTTATTTTAGTGGCATTGCCATTTACATAGGCTGTAATCTCACTGACAGGCTAAGAGCTTCTTCCTTTCCCTCCTCCACCCCTGTTCTTCCCTTGACCTTGTGGTTTTCCCTTCTGCTCTCATTGAGAGCCCCTGCTGAGGAATTAAGCTCAGTAGTGAGCTGGGGCCTCATCTTACCCTGAAGATGAGACAAGGGTGGAGCTCTGAGGGAGCATCACCCACTCCCTGCTAAGGACACTTCTCTAATTGCAAGGCACTGTTGACATCCACCTATCCAATCCCTAGTGCTCTTCTCTCACCACCTGCCTTTGCAGCCTCTCTCTCCCACTCTCCTTGTGAAGGCTGAACACTCATCTCTCCTGGAATAGAGCTGTGACTGGGTGGAGCCAGGTGGGTGAACAGCACTCGGGTTTATGAGGCCCATTCATCTCCTCAACCAGATTGCCTTCCTACATAGTTTTGAGCTGCTTGAGCTTACCCTATAGGGCTCCCTAGAAGAAGTGAGAGTCATGCCAGACAACCTCCTTCACCAGTCTCTGCTATGTTGGGCAGTGAGAGTGCTGCAGACCCCAGGTAAGAGCAGGTTTCACTGGATACACCCTCTATCTCAGTGGTTCTTAACCAGGGGCAATTTTACCCCCACAGGGCATTTAGCAATGTCTGGAGACATTTTTGGTCTTCACAACTTGGGTGGGGGTGTGATTGGCATCTATAGGGTAGAGGACAAGGATGCTGGCAAACATACTACAATGCACAGGACACTCCCCTTTCCCCGCAACAACAAAGAATTATCTGGCCCAAAATGTCAATAGTGCTGACGCTGAGAAACCCTGTTCTACCTCCTTTAGAGAAATTCCACTGAGGTAGTGGTGGTGGGTTGCTAGGCATCCCTGATTAGGCATCCTTTGGGGTCTCCACTTTGCCACCTGCTAAGATGGCATTCTATTTCATTCACCACCCCTAGTCCCACTGTGCCCCCAGGGATGTTCAGTAACTGCTATGAAGATCAGTAATGGGTTAATGACAAGGGAGGTCATGGAGGGCTTTGGACTATTGCAGAGAAAACACCTTAAGCACCAGGAAGAAATTCTTTTAACAATAAGCATGTTGATAATACCTCTTAAATATCTCTGGAATCCATACATTCACTATCCTAGTTCACCTGAAGGACTTCAGTAGTCTTCTAAATGGTCTTCCTGCATCTATTATTGCCACCTCCAATCTATTCTCCAAGCAGTGGTCAGAATTTTGTTTTCAAAATGTAAATCTGATCATACCACTTTCCTGCTTATAACCCTTCAGTGGCCCTCCATTACTTTTATGATATAGTCTATACTCCCTTAGCATGACATCTAGCCACTATCTACCTCTTCTGCCTCATCTATCCCCTTGCAATCTATGACCCTGCCATGATTAATTATTTCAGTAGTTCCCCAATGGGTCAAGCTCTCTCTCTGTTTCCTTCTCCTGGATAACTTTTATTTATCGTTCAGCTTTCATGTTAAATACCACATCCTCTAGGAAGCCATCCCTGATCATCCCAGTGTGGGCTGGCTGTCCCTGCTGTATGTGCTGAGGTTACCTACACCTTTTTAGCAACCAACACATATACCTGGCTGTTTCCTCCACAAGACTGTGAGCTCTGAGATGGCAGGGATTGTTTCTATCCTGTTCACTGTTCTATCCCCAGTGCCTAGCTGAGTGCCTGGAACATAGTAAATATTTGTTGAATGAATTAATGGATGGATGGGTTGGTGATGTGCTTATCCCTGCTGGCTTCTGCTTGCTCTCTTTGCCTTCCTCACCACTACCTGCCCCAAATGTTATGGGCCGTGTAGATGACAAGATCTAGAGAGAATTGGGTCCCTCCTCCCTGTGCAATTTTAAGTCTTAATCTGCCAGTCTCTGGTAGAAACCTGTATTTAGTGCTTCCATCCTGCTCTGAGCCACCTGCAGTTGGGTAGATCAAGGGCCTGGTGAAGATACAGTGAACCCCTATAGGGGCAGATAAGTAATGGTTATCTAGGAACACAGGGAATGATCATCCCAGCTGAATTTCCTTACAAAGTCTTCTGCCTCTCTTCTGTTGGACACTGGAGTTGTATTGGGGGTGAAATAGGTGTAGCTTTCAGAAGCCCCGACATGGCCCCATCTCTTTCCTTAGGGCTCCCACAAAACCCAAAATTCCACAAACTCAAGAGTGAGCAGAAGCTCCCTGGCTTACTCAGACCCTTGCTCTGTGGGACTGGCTAATGAGGCTACTTAGTTTGGAGTGCATGCCTGGGTATTTTGCTTACTGGCCAATGAGGCTGTGAAAATGTCATTAAAATCTGATGAGAAAGCATCAGATGCTGCAAACAAACAACCTCCAACCAAATCCATTTTTTCCAAAAGAGGAAACTAAGTGATTCCTGGGAGCAGATGGATTGTGCTTGTTCATAGGAGGGAAACAGAAAAGGAAGTTCTTTTGGCAAGAATGAGACATACACTGCAGCACTTTCCTGAGTAAGAGAACAATTTCCTTCATGTGTGTCAGTGGCAATAAACCAGGGCAGGGTTCTTAGGTCTGAACTGCTTTTCTGCCTCTTGATACAAGGCTACTAGCAGAACATAGTCATCACAGCCCAGCCCAGCCCTGCAGTCCTTGCCCAAGCTTAGCCTACCTCTCAGAGCCTCATCAATATCTTTGTATACCTTGGAAACACATTTACAAGAAATGACCCCTGACAACTTCTCCTGGAACCCTTGATCCTAATCTGAACTTTGTCACCACTTGTCCCTATGGGGCCTTGGACTACCTCAAAAGTTTCCCAGCAACTCAGAGACCACTGGGAACAACACTAGTTGTTTTAGTCCCAAGTCTATCATTCAAGTCTTTCTACCCTGACACCTAGTAATAACAATAGATACCTAACATTTATTGAGCAGTTATTATGTGCCAAATACTGTTCTGTGTGTTAATATATTATCTCATTTATTTCTTACAACAACCCTATGGAAGAGGTAATGTTCTTATTCCCTAAGTTTACACCATTAGTAAATAATGAGGCTGGGACTTAAATTGAAATATGTCTGATTTCTAATCTCCTACTCCATACTTTTTACCACTATACCTGCCATACGGAAAATTAATAAATTCACCATAGATGTCTCAGATTACCCCTGTCTAAATCCCCAGTAAAAGTTTGCTTAGGGAGCAAGCACTGGGAGATGGGAGATCACAGGGCCTGGTTCCCAATCAAGCAGAGCAAGGGGGAATTTGTTTACCGTAAGATCCATAGGAACTGTGTTGGGTTTGCTTCCCATTATTTCTCTATGGCCTAGTACAGTGCCTGGTACATGGAACATGCTCAATAAATGTTTATTGAAGGAATGAATGGCCCTGCTCCCTGATTTGCTCAGAGCCTTGCTGACTGTAAGGACTTTGAGGTGACCTCTAAATTCCCTACGTGAAGACATGAGGCAGGGAGATCCTAGGCCCAATCCCATCAGCACAAATTTCTCTGAGTAATCAAAACATCACCAGGCCCCCAGCAGATCAGAGTCCACTGATTTTAATTGCTATTTGCTACCTCAAAATTTTCTCACCCCAGAAAAATAGGCACTGTCTCTAGAATTTTTTGTCATAGTATCTAATTTTGGATATAATAAGAGGACAGAAGTCAGTTCAAAATCCTTGCATTTTTTTCTATTGTTTCTCATGGTGTATGACCTTAAGAAGGCCATTCTACCTCTTTGGGCTGTATTCTCCTCATCTGTACCAGGAGAGAGTGGGACTTTCTCCTCACTAAGGGTCCTTTGACCTTGGACCTGAAGGAAGGACTTCCTGAAGGAAGTCAAAAGTAAGTCAGGCACTGTCTCTATTTCTATAGCCAGACAGCATCCCTAACTCCAGCCTCCACATGTTGGTGGGGGCAGAGAGAATGCAGGACACCTGCTGTTGCTCAGTAGCTCTTCTCACCCTTAAACTCAAGGTAAATGGGGAATATGAGGGAGCAGGGGATGAATGGGAAATGGGGAGCCCTATGGCAAGCAAGTTCCTTGCATGTCTCTTCACCTTGGGCAAAGAGGCCCGGGTGCCAGAGCTCTGGGCTGTCATGGTAAGCACAGTGGTAATGCCCAGACCCACACGGGCAGGGGCAGCATCCATGTTGACCCAGAAGGAGACCCAGGACAGGATGACAATGAGTAGGCTGGGGATGTACATCTGAATCAGATAGTAGCCCATCTGCTCCTCCAGATGAAACTTCACCTCAATGCAGGTGAATTTCCCTGCAAGGAAAGGGGTGAGGTATCAGGTCCCAGGTTCCCAGCCTGCAGCTGAGCCTAAGGGGCCAGGACTAGAGCAGCGTTATCTCCATTGTCCTACCTCTGGGCACCTCAACTGGGCCAATCAATGGCCCTTCTCAGACAGCCCCAGGTAGTACCAGATGTATGTACTGAGAAAGCTCTCCGAGCAACCACCAAGGACTTGACCTCTGGCTCTCATCACTTTCATTTCCAGCAGAAGGCCATCCATGGGACAGTACAGCAAGAAGATTAAGAGCAGGGGGCTCTGGAGCCAGATTGCCTGGATATGAACCCTGAAACTTTCACTCACTAGCTCTGTAACTACAGGTAAAACACTCAAGCTTTCTGAGCTTCAGTTCCCTTGCCTGTAAAGCAGAGTAATAATATCATCTCCATCACTGGGCTTTTGTAAGAATTAGATGAGATAGTATATTTGAGGTGCTGAGCACGTAGGTAACTGTTACTATTGTTATCGTTATTAACAAAGCAATTAGCTTAGACTACTCATGTCTCAGCAGCTTTGCTTGCGCTTGCTGGTACCCCAGAAGCTCTTTACTAACAACAGTTCACTGGGATGAACGCTGCTTGTTCATAGCAAACATCTGGAAAACAATGCGTGACAGAGACCAGCTCTGGACAGTGGCAGTGGAATTCTCGTAAAGTATCGGGCAGCAGCATTCTATTCCACCAACAAAAAGCGTATTGCTCCCAGGCACGTGTACCAATGCTCTGCCTCCCCTGCCAGCCATCTTCACTTTCCTGTGCTTCCCACAGCCCCAAGGCTAAGAAAACACTTCCTCAGAGGCTCTCCCAGAAGCAGAGGCTTGGGATAACCGAAACAAAAAGGGAAGATGTATATATTGTTATTTTATTTTGGCCTAGGCCCTCTCTTATTAGGCCTACCTGATTCCTTAAGGCCAGTGATTCCACCAATGACTGACTGTGGCTTTGACATGTTGTATGATGCTGTGACCTCTTACTGTTCCTTGAGACCACTCCACTTCAACCCCTTCCTGGGCTTCTTGCCTTGACAAGCCTTTGCTAGGTACCCATATTTTCTTTCTTTCTGGTTTTTTTTTTTTTTTTGATAATAGTAATTTTGTTTTTACCTTGTGATGTGGTAACTGGAGAACTGATGGCACAGTAGTTAAGAACTATGGCTGCTAACCAAAAGGTTGGCAGTTTGAATCCACCAGCCACTCCTTGGAAACCCTAGGGGCAGTTCTACTCTGTCCTATAGAGTCGCAATAGACTGGACAGCAACTTTTTTTTTTTTTTAAATGTGGTAACAATTGCTGTAGAGCCAACTCTGACTCATGGCGACCCTATGTGTGTCAGAGTAGAAAAAAATGATGGATTTTTTTCCTGGAAGTGGATCGCCAGAACTTTCTTCCTAGGTGCCTCTAGGTGAACTCAAAACTCCAGCCTTTTGGTTAACAGCCAAGTGTGTTAACTGTTTGCACCACCCATGGACTGAGATTTTTTTTTAATCACAAAATTAACACTTGTTTAGTACAGATAGTCTCCAACTTACTACGTATTTGAGTTATGATGAACCACACAACCATCTGTTTTTTGGTTTTTGTACTACATACATTATAACCTGTAATTTGCAGATGTAATCATTCTAAGATGTTCAGTTGCAGATGTTTATGTGTAATGTTTCCAAGCCCGAAAGACAAATAAAGATCAGATTTATAAAGATACTGATAATAAAAGGCAATAATAATGAAAAAAAAAAAGAGGCACCCACCCACTCCTCACTTATCGACATGGTTAGGTTCCTAAGACCAGGCTGTTATGCAAAAATCAATGTTATGTGAAAATGGAGGATGACCACATAATTACATAACTGCCGAATTACATCATTACTTAACTGCCAAACCACATCATTACATAACTGTCAAATTATGTCACTACATAACTGCCAAACCACTGAGAATCATGGCTAGCCAAGTTGACACATAACCTTAACTATTACAGACAGTACTACTCTCGCCTCGCACCTCGGCATTCATTACTGTCAGATGTACATCGTTAATGCACAAAATAGTCGGATAGTAGATTTTTTTACTGTGGTCGTAAATTGGAAATACCAGATAACGAGATAGTCGATAAGTGAGGAGTAGGTGTATTCGACTTACGTCAGAACAAACCTATGACAGAGTCGTCAGAACGGAGCCCCGTCGTAAGTCGGGGGCTACCTGTATAGAAGAAATGAGTAATAAGGAATAATAATTTTCACAGTTCACGTTTCTCAATCCCTTATAAAGTGTCATTTGCTTTATGTACGTTATCTCATTTAATCCCTCAACAACTCTTTGATGATAGTATCTCCCATTTTACAGAGAGGATACTGAGGCTCAAAGAGATTAAGCTACGTTTCTCAAGGTTACCCAACTAGTAAATGGCAGAGCAAAAATTCAAACTTAGCTTTATCTGACTCCCAAGTTCTTGCTCTTACCCATTGTGACACATTATTTTAGAAACATTTGGTGCTATTTCCTTTCAGGTTTTTTTAAAATTTTTTTTTTTTTGGTTTGTTTCTTCTACCTCAATATAATCATTCTGTGTATACAACTTTGAATTTTACCCTTTTTCACTCGAACTTTCCTGTGTTGATATAGACGGCTCATAATCATCCTTTCTAATGTCTACATAATAGTCTATCAGGCAGATACACTATGTAATTTATTAACCTCTGCCCTATTGGTGGGTATTGAGAACAATTCCAAGTTTTTGCTAGTATGAATAGTGACCTAGGAGCCATCTTGGAGTCTAAAGTCAATCTGATTTTTTGGACTATTTCTTTATACTAAATTCCAAGGAGTGAGATTCCTGGATTAACAGGTCAGAAAAAATTTTAGCTTCTAGACTAAAGTTTCTTAAAGTATGTTCCCTGAAACACTTGTATCAGAATCCTCAAAATACTTGTTAAAATGCAGATTCCTGGGCATCACTCCAAGCATATGTAATCAGAATCTCTGAGAGGTAAGAATCAACATTTTAACAGACTCCCCAGGGGGATATAATACACATTAAAGTTTGAAAACCACTGACCTGTATATAAGTTGTCAATTTGTTCCCAAAAAGAGTATATCAATTTCCACTCCCACCTGAACTTTCTACATTCAGTGTCTCGTTTCTCCCCCCCGCCGCACCCCCACGTACATGCATGCACATATTCAGAGGGCAGCACCCAAAGGATGTCAGAGTACCATAGAAGGAGCCCAGAATCTCCCCTCTTTTGCATGTTGCCTCCTCTGAGGGTCATAGATTCTCAAAGACAAATTGCCAGAGGAAACAGGGAACCAGCAGCTCTTAGGGAAGCTGTAGGGGGCAGATGATCAGGCTGGAAAAGCATCCCCTTCCCACTTCCTGGCCCATGTCTCCCTCCTGGGAAAATAAGCCAGTTCATGAGGGCTGGGCAGTGGTAGTGTCGGTAGGGGATGTGGACAGTAAACTGGCCAGAGCCCTGGGCTCTCTTCCCTCCCTGTTCAGTACAGCCATTGACTACTCCCAGATATGAATTCCCCAACTTCCACACTAAGTTGGCCCCAGGCAAGGTGGGACGCTTCCTGCCACTCACTGGCACAGACCCATTTGCTCTGCAGCATGTGCCAGGGAGTTAGACAGACCTGGAATGGAATTCTGAATCTACTATTTACCAGCTTTGTGACTTGGATGATTGATTTCACCTCTTAGAACCTCAATTTCCCCATTCTGAAAAAGTGGAGCTGATAATCCCTACCTTACAGGGTTACAGTACCTATGAAGTGAGATAAGGTATATGAAGCACTTAACACCATATCTGGCACAAATTGGACCTTCAGTAGAGGCTGGCTGCTTTGCCCCCTTCCCTCCCATCTGGAGGCCAGTAATGATCTTGGATTTTTCCCTGTGTTGTAGTGCTTGGTACAATAGCCTAGATCCTTCTCATCCCACAAGATAAACTGGGGCAGAGTCAGCCCCTCAGCTACTTGGCTAGCAGGAGCATCTTCTAGCCACTCAAACACGAGGTCATTCATGGTGTAGCCAGCTGAAAGTGACAGAGATGGCAGAGGGCTGCAGAGTGTGGGTCGGGAGTAGGGTCAGAACTGGCAGGAAAGACCGGATAAGGAATACGGCTGGGCTTCAGGAGATTCATGTTCATCTTGGAAAGGGAGATTTGGCCAATTGTCTCATGGGCCCATCCCTCACTGGGTAAATTAGGAAGATTCCAGACTCCTTTCCTACCCAGTTTTCAAGCTTTAGAGAAGCCTCAGAAGAAATTACTTTGGTGGACCTAGAAAGCAGGTCAAAAGGGTTGAAAAGATGCCAAGGAACCCAGCTGGGAAGCTTCTGCCATATCTCAAACCCAGGGGACTAAGCATGTGTATCAACCACATGTCTTGAGCTGAGCCAGCCTCAGAACCAGGGCTTCTGCCACTTCACCCCAGGGAGGGGAGAGCTATTTATATCCTGCTAGTCATGCATGAGGAGCCCTGGTTGCACAGTGGTTAGAGTACTCTGCTGCTAACCGAAAGGTTGGCGGTTCGAAATCACCAGCCGCACCGCGGAAGAAAGATGTGTCAGTCTGCTTCCATAAAGATTACAGCCTTGGAAACCCTATGGGGCAGTTCTACTGTGTTCTACAGGGTCACTATGAGTCAGAATTGACTCGATGGCAGTGGGTTTGGTGGGAGTCATGCATGGGACCATGGACACACCACAGACTCCTAGCCAGGGCCTTGAATTGGGGCAAATTGAGAGCTAACATCTGAACATGCCAAGTTGCTCACAGATAGCTAACAGTCGTGAGGGCTCATGCCACATATATGACAGTATTCAGACATGTCAGGTAGAAAGGGGAGCAGAGACACCAAGGCTCACAGATGTCCAGTGTAGGGCTGTGTGACTTTGGGCAAGTCACTTCCCATCTGTAAAATAGGGATAATAGTGGCTGCTCTACCCACCTTTCAGAGTTGTTGTGAGGGGGTAATGAGAACCTGGATGTGAAAGTGGTTTATGAACTCAAAAGAGCTGACCACATAGGACACATTCTGTTCATCATTATTATTGCATGCTGGCAACAGCCTTACAAGCCTTCTCTGAGGATCAAGTGGCTATCTCCTGATCTCACAGTCACAACACCCAGGAGATGAAGAAGGAGTGGAAATAAGTGACAGTCTAGCCTTTTCATCCCTTGCCTCCTCTGCACATTGGGCAACCCCTTCATGCTGGCACCCCTGCCATAGAGTAACCCTTGGCTGACCTCTCTACCCTGAGCACTGTCCTATACCTAAAACTGTCTTCTCCCAATTCTCTACAAGGGTTATATGTGTTCATGGATAAATCAAGGATCAAAGAGTCTCCCCCTCCTGCCAACATTGGCATTTTTATAGGCATCTTCAATGTCTTAATTCAGGGAGACTAAAGGTAGAACTACTTTAGGTACTGTGAGAGGGAACATATCTTTGGGCAGGGGAGGTGTCTTTTAAATTGTCCCACAACCAGTATAAACATGTGTGTATGTAAGTCTGGTACCTTCCCATTCCCCGGCCCTGTGGAACAGCCAGACCAGCAAATAGTGTGGAGATGGAAAAACACACTGTCCTGGGTGTGAGGGACCCCTGGCTTCCTCTCTGCTAAGAACTGACTGCATACCCTCAGGTAAGCCCCTCTTTATTCTGGGTTTTCCTTTTCCTGTCTAGAATATCATGAATGAGATTAACTAGCTGGTATTCCAGGCCATGTCCTGTGACTCTCTAGAGACACAGCTCTCCAGCTGCATCGTGCAGGTCTGGATGTCCATGGGGAAGTTCTTGAGGTCCATCTGGCAGGACAAAATGAGGGTCAGCCTGGTGGGGACAATAAGAAAGAAATGATATTGACTTACTGGGGCCAAACACATCACAGGAGACCCTCTTCCCACCTATCAGCCTCCAACTGGCTTCTTCCCCTTGCTCTACACCCTCCTGGCCATTCACCAGGTGCACCTGATGCTGTAGAGCACATTGCCATTCTTGAAGATGTGCAGTAATTTGTTGTCCGTGGTCACCTCATGGAAGTTGGCCCTTTTCTCATTGGCAAAGAACAAGTCTGGCTTCCAGATTGAGTCCAGCATGGAGGGATCAAGGTCCACCGAGTCGTCAGGATACTCTCGATAGGCCAGGCGTGGGTCATTCTACTGCTGCCGCAAGAAGACATTCACCCGGTAGTCCTGGGAAGGGGCAGAGATGGGCCCATCAGTGATAGTGCTATTGTCAGGGGCCCAGCAAGCTTACATGGGCAGGAGGACCATGAGGAAGAAATGTTAGGAGCACATCTCAGGGCCAGTAGGCATTTTCCGCTGAAGAAGGGGCCTGCTTGGGCTGGTGTGGCAGAGATGTGAGGGAACAAGACATTTATTGAATACTTACTATGTGCTAGACTTTCTGCTAAGTGCTTTCTTTATATGATCATTTCATCTAAGTCTCACACCAATTCTATGAAGAGGGTACTGTTATGATCCTTATTTTGTGGATGAGGAAACTGAAACAAAGAGAAGTTTAAATAACCTGCCGAAAGTCACACAACGATGATATGGTAGAGCCAGAATTTGAACTAGGATTCTCTGATTCCAAAGCCTGTGCTCTGCACCAAGTTACCTCACACATTTGACTCATAATTTCTGTCTTAGCTACGTAAGCCTGTGACTGTGGAAAGATGACTTCCCAGTGACCAACTTCAGACATTCCATGACTTTAGCTATGACCACAGAAGAGGAAGAGGGAAGTAGAAGGAGGAGATTCTTGCTATCTGATGGGCTTCTCCCATTCATACTAGAGTGGAAGCAGGGAACAGGGAGACCCCTCACCATAGTGGTCTCGGTGACGGAGACGAAACTGTTGATGAAGATGTTGCAGGTCACGTTCACGGGTGGGCCTAAGGGCAGCATAGCGCAGCCCATTGGCAGGGTATTCTAGGAGGCTGGGAGCAGAACCCAAGACTCCCTCCCAGAGCTTCAGGCCAGGGCATTGCCAGGAGGAGGCAGTGCCAGCTACATAGACCCCATGAGCAACGGAGAAGGGTGGCTCCTGAGCTATAAGAGCTAGGCTTGTACCTCTAGCCTCCTTTCCTTGGGGCAGGAGATAGGTGCTGGCTGGGTAGTCTATCTCCAAAAGGGATGGGGAAGGAGAGTGTTTTTTTTTTTTTTTTTTTTTGTAGGATGAATGTTTCTTACCTTTAAAATTGGGCCGAATCCTGGCATCGTATCCAGATGTTCGTCCCATAAGCTTGTCCAGGAAATCAGAGGGGTACATGGGCTGAGTAACCCCCTTGGTCCCAGATTTGACTTTCTCTTTTGCCAAGGCCACTCTGGACAGAAGAGGTAAAGATACCTGAGACCAGTTGTATTCTGCATTTGTCACAGAGCCCTCCACCTCTGCCCCCACCAACCTCTGGCTGGTCTCCCAGTCAGCCAGGAGGATAGGAAAGGATGGGTTTCTGGGTGGCCATTTCCAAAATGAGGAGAACAAAAATAGTCATAAACCAACAGTGCAGCTCATCAGTTAGACCTAAAAAAGTGCTTTGACATATATTAGATATTTTTACCCTCATAATTTTCAGTGTGATGGGGATGAGAGCTGGTATTTCCATTTTACAAATGAGGATATCGAGGCCTCCAAAGGAGGAGTAGCTTGTCCAAAGTCTCAGAGCTAGTGAGTGGCAGGGTCAGGACTCAAATCACCCAGGGCTAAGGCCTCATCCAGTATTCTCCTTCTGAAGATGTTTTGAAAGCCCTCAAAAAAGAGTGACATCTCACTGGAAATAATGTGGCTACTGCAACGTTTTGCCCATTTGACGTAGCCAAGGATGAGAAGGGCTCAAGGACAGCCTGCATCCCTGAGAGTTGATTTCAGTTGTTTGGGCTTCATGCTGGGTTGTTCAGGATCTAGGAACCCACTTCTGGGGAAGGAAGCTTGGCTTCTGGCATTTGCTCCAGCAGGAAGCTACTGGACCTGAGTTCAGGGCTATGGTAGCTGCAGGTAAGTGAACTGGTTTTGTCAAGGAGGTAGGTGGAGAAGGAGGGCCCTAGGAGCATGGAAAGCCTCCCAGCAGGGTGACCATGCTGAAAAGATCAGCTCCCATCTTCTTCCCCTTAACAGCTTGATTTTTGAGGAGGAGGCTAGCGTGCCTCAGCCTAACCTATAAACCAGCCTCTTCTCCCCTAACAAGTGTGTTCCCTTTCAGAGCAGCAAAGCCCCTTCCACATGCCTGCTTACCTGCTTACCACCCAACAGATAGACCACGGACCAGGGGCTCAGCCAAGCCTTGGGGATAGGTGCGGGGCTCAGGGCGGAGCTCAGGCTGGACTCCTGGCTGGGCCATGTGCCTCTTGCTCCATCCTGCCATCATCGCTGTGGCAGGCACTAGAATCAGCTCCACCACTACCACTGCTGCTGCTGCACTGTGGGGCTGGGAGGCAGGGCGACTGCTGTCCTTCTGGGTCCTAGTCTCCTCTGAGCCAGTGGGCCTCTCTTTCCCAGCAAGTCCATGCACCAGCCAGTGACCAATCGTGTAATAAAAATAGCTAAGGCAGCCTGCTAAATACTTTACGCACCTTATCGTGTTAGTTTTCACATCAATCCTCTCAGAAAAGTATCATTATTATCTGCATTATATAGATGAGGAGACTGAGGATCAGTGAGGTGAAGTCACTTGCTCAGGATCATACAGCTAGTAAGTGGCAAAGTCAAGATTCGAACCCAGGGCTATTGGACTTCAAAACTAAGTCTATCACAACACCATGATGGCAGTAGCCCAGGATGGGCTGCCAACCCAGAGCGGGGGAAGGTCAGTGGCAGCCCCTCCCTGCCTAGAGTACTACCTCCTTGAATTGTCTAAACAGGAGGAAGCCCTTCCCCTGGGGACAGGCCACCTTGGCCGGAGGAGCGGCAGCAAGCCTGGGTTGCCAGAGCTGGTATCCTAAGCAGGCTCTGAAAATCCAGGGAGGCTGGTGATGATGCTGGAGCAAGCAGAAGTCCGTGGCTTCACCACAGGATGTCCACACTGGCCAGGTGGTGCTGCTGCCACTGCTGCTGCTAGCTGCCTGCCACCTGCCCACTGGGAGGCCACATGGCCCTGCACATGAAGCAGTTGGACAGACCCTCCTCACCATCCTCAGCCTCATGCTCAGGTCACTTCTCCCACTAGCCCCAGCCCCAGGACCCTGGGATACGTTGTGGGTCCAGCTCTCTTGGGCCCCATGCCCTGTTGCAGCCCCTCTCTTCTGGGGCTGGGGACTGCCTTGTCTGAAGACCTGAGAGCAGAGTCACTGCAGCCACGCCTTCTTCCCTTTCATTCCTGGAAAGTCCCAAACACTGGCAGGACCTGGGAGGTTCCAGAGCTGAAAATCTTGCTTTTGCAAAGTCCTGGGGTGGGCTGGGGGGAGAAATCTGATTCTGTCACTGGGTACCCGAATGACCTTGGGCAGGTCACTCCCCTTCTCTAGGCCTCAGTTTCCATATGTACAATGAAGGACTCAGACTCAAGACTCTCTATGGGCCTTTCCTGCTCTGACCACCTTTGGTCCCCAAGCCCAAGTAGGAATGCTGCAGCGGAAGCTCCGACTGTGAGGCAGCCTCCCCTCCAGGAGGGCCAGAAAGCCCCAGCTGGGTGCCGCCTTCTCCCTGCTTCCTCCTGTCAACTCCAGCTGAGCTGCCATTCCACTTTGAGCTGCTTGTCACTCTTAAGAAGTTTCCTGCCCCACGCTGCATCCCTGCCTGCCTGCCAGCCAATGTAGCTGCGGAGAGGGGCAGAAGGCTCCTCAGAGGCAGGCAGCCCTGCTGTGCTCCTTGAATTCAGAGGAGGAGCAGGATGTTGCAATGGCACCCACCCCAGCCCCTCCTCTTATGACCAGGTCAGCCCAGGCCACAGCCATTTTTCCTGCTCAGCTCACCCCGTCAACCTGGACTGGCTCCTGATCTAATGAGAAAGTTGGAAGGGGTGGGACATTTAAAGGGGATCCCAAAGCATGTATTGCCTCCAAGCCTAGAAAATGACCGCTACTTAGTGCCCCTCCAGGGCTACCTAACAGCTGCGCATGCACAGGCAGGGTGATTGCAGAGGGCCAAGGCCTGGCCACCTCATCTCTATCCAGATATGGTCTTCAGGCAAACCCTGGCTACTTGAAGCCTCCCAGGCAGGCAGCTGGCAGATGTTGCTGTCATTTTTAGGGAACAGAGCAGTGTGTGATCAAGCTAGTAGGGAGACAGGGTTGGGTGGCAGGACAGTTGGCATCCCTTTCTGGGCTCAGCTACCTGCCTACCCCCTACTCAGGCCCAAGAAACTGCCACCCATGCAGAAACCTTCTCACCAGCACCGGCCTTGACATGCCTAATGAAAAATTCCTGGGTCCTGATGGAGGGGGGAGGGGCTGTTCTCTTCTGGAACACTCCAGAATGTGGGCTTTTTGCAAACTTAGGCGGAACTGCTAGATGCCCCGGCTGCTTCTGGCCAGGAGACTCTAGTGTTTGCATGCATCACCTTCTTACCCCCACTAAGCTCACCTGAGGTGGACCTGCCCTGGCAGGGTCCAGAGGAGAAGGAAAGAGAGGGTTGCAGGAGCAAGAGTTGTCATTCCACGGGGACCCTGGAGCCCTTCCTCAGCCTGGTTGCCAAGGTGAGGGGGGATATCCCAGCGGGAACACCAAAAGTATAGAGCCTTCCTCCAACTTGGGCTGCTTGCACGGAGCCTGCGGGGCCAGGCTGAGTCGCGCTCTCTCCTCTTCTGTTCTCTTTTCCTCTGTCCTGTCTTTACCAGTCAGGGGCCAGAATTATTCCTCTGGAAATGATCCTGACACAGATAACCCTACAGGCTCCTGCTCGGACTTTCCTCAGGCTCCAGAGGGCCGAAACCGGCTGGGGAGCTGGAAGAGATTCTCTTTGGACAGCAATCACTCTCCAAACCCTGGAGAATCTTGGAGGGGAGGGAGAAGGGAGGCTAGTAGGAAAATGTTTCCCTCCCTCCCACCTCTCCCCAGATGCACCCTCCAAAAGCAGCAATTTAAAGGCACAGTTGCCAGCAGCTGGAGTGGGGTTCCAAGCGTGTCCGTGTGCTGGGGAGGAGCTTGGGCTGCTGCTACTGCTCGTGGAGGACCAGAGGTGCTCTGTACAGCGTGGAACTCTCCAGCGGGAGAAGTGCTTGTAGTCTGCCCTGCTCCCCCTTCCCCACCAGCTTTTCTTTTCCTAGAGCTCAGCTGGGGCGAAAGAGTCAAGCCCTAATAATTTTTACAAGGGGGAAAAAGACCTAAGGAAGGTTTAGGCAGAGAGCCACTGGGTATTCTCAAGCTGACCAGCTTCAGGTCTGAGAGGAGGAGGAGAGAGGGAGAGGAGGAAGAGAAGGAAGAGGAGGAGGCCACAGGCCGGGGCAGCTTTCCTCCAACCCTCTGGATGGAGGCACAGCAATGGTACAGAGGAACTTCAGAGCCCTCCTCACATGTGGTCTGTCTGCTTGTCAATCTGTCTGCCTGTCCGTCTGTCTGCCTGCCATCATCCCCTTCATCCTTGTAGCTGTGCATTTGGTCCCGGGCCTGCTTTCTTCCCTCAGTTTGTCTCTGGGGAGGCTGGCCTGCCCTCTGTAGCTCTGGAAATCCTCCCTTCCCTAGCCCCCCTTCCCCACCCTGGCTCATGGGAAGGGAGAGCCGGCCTCCTCACTGCCTTCTGTCCATTTGCTTACAGCATCCAGGTGGGTCAGCTGCTCCCTTTTCCCCAGCCAGACCCTTCCCTAAACTTCCCTGTGCCTCGTCTAAACACCTCTGGGACTTCCCCAGTTTCTCTCTCTCCCACCCCTCTTCCCTCTCTCTCTTTTTCAGCTCTCTTCCTCTCCCTCCCTCTCTCTCCCTGAAGCATTCCTTCATCTATCCTTCCTCCATCTCCCTCCTCATGCCTGCTAATCTGTCTCTCCTGGTTTCTTCTCTGTGTCTCACTTTCTGTGTAAGTCTCTCCCTTTTCTTTCTGCCTCACTTTCTCTCCATCCTCATTTTCTCTCTCTCACTCTCTCTTCCTAAATTACAACAGTGAGAAGCCAAGAGTTTTCATTTCCTCATCAGTGGAAACTTGAGCTAGCTGTGCTGAGGTCTGAGTTTGTGCTAGGGGAAGGGGGTCCATGCCACTTAACATGGGACAACCCCAGAGCCAGAGTGAACTGTAGCCCTCCAACCTTTCCAGGGACGTATTTGTGGGCATCAGAAGCTCTTGTAAAGGGCCCACCAGCAACTTAGAGGGATTAATTACAAGGCACTGATGGGTGGAATTTGTGCCGTGTCTCCCTTCTGACTGTATTATTATTAAAGAGGAATTTACAGACCACAAATGAAAGGGAAAAAAGAGAATTCTAAAGAACACAAATTAAAATATTGATGGGGGAACTGGGCTTTTGGAATTAGGACTGGGATCATTACAAGCCTCAAATAACATCTAAAAAAAAAAAAAACTACAAAAAAAAATAGCATCTATATGCCCAGTAAGTACAAAATACTAATTATCTTAAAGACATCTTTAGCAGCCCTCTTACCTGCCCACCTCCCTTGTAGTTTCCCTTTAAAGTCCTAATCCCCACTCCATGAACAGGAGCAGAAGCACAAAGAGAGCCTTACAGAACCTCCAGGGCAGAGTTCCAGGTTGGGGAGCTAGGGGGTGGTTGGGGGGCACTTGTCTCCTCTCTTTAACTCATGTCATGTCCCCTGCCTCAACAGTTCCCTAATGCTCTCAGGCTGAAGCCAATGGCCCTGTGTGATCTGGTCACTCTGCTCCTCCCACGAATGCATCTAGAGTTGCCTGTTCTGTCTTTCCAGCTTGCAGATAATTTCACATATTGTTCCCACTGCCCAAAGCACTCTTCCCACACTCTTACTCTTCCTTCTGGACTAAGTTTTGTTGTCACTTTCTTAAGGAAGACTTCTTGAGGCCCCCCAGCCACCCATGAAGGTAGGGGTAAGGAGTCCCTCCAGTATGTTTCCACAGGACCCTTGCTTTCCCTCTTCACAACACTGGTCACACTCTGTTATGGTTGCTGGTTAACTTGTTTCTCTCCCCCACTATACCGTGAGCTCCCTGACAGCAGAGACACATCATCCACCAGATCCCCGTGGCCCAGCCCGGAGCATGACACAATATAGGCAGTTAGCGAACGTTTGTTAAACGATGCATCCTGACCACCCAGAGACACTTTCTCAAGCTCAGTGCCCTTGTAGCATTTGCTCTGTCAAACAAGAATGATAAGCTTGACACACAGAGAGAGGGCCAGGGTGAGGTAATGGTAATAAGGAGAAATGAGGAAGCAGTTTTCATTCCCTCACCCTATAGGCCTGTGGCCTCACAGTCAGTCTTCTGGAATTCTTGGCTAATGGAAGGCATAGGCCCCTGGGGACTAGTCTGTTTGTCTCAGGTCTTACCTCCTGTGTTCCCCCATGGGACCCCTGAGTGCTGAGAGCATAGCAGGGTCAGCTTCCTGGAAGGAAAGGTCCTTCTTACCAGAGGCTGCGGCAATGACCAAAAGTCTGGCTGACATAATGAAGAACTACAACTTTCCAAGGGCACTTCAGGGAGTCCAGACTTTTGAGGTGAAGAAGGGAGGAAAGGGAGGCAAAGAACTAGGGAAACTGATGCTGGGAATTGGCAAGCAAGAGCAGAGATGCCTATTCAAACAATTCCCTGTACCAACTGGAAGCCACACCCTCTGAAGAGGACCTCAGTATCTTTTAGTCTGAGAAGGGCACAACGTTGTGTCCAGCCTTGCCCTGTCTCCTTTTTCTGTTCTCTTTATGCAACTATGGTGTATACGAATCTCCAGGTTCCAAAATGTATTGTACCCTTTTCCTGTAGTGCGAATGGCTGCCACATGGGCCCAAGAACTGGTTGTATTTCAGGGCTGAAGTCGTGTAGAAGCTACAATACACCGAGTGTTTTTCAGGATGAAAGGCATTATTTTGTTATGAAAAACTACTGAGCTGTTAAAAATGGATTAAGCATATTTTCATTAATGTTTCATTTCAGGAACGAGTCTGTCACATTTCAGCCCTGTGCAGGGAAAATTTCAATTGCACCCTCCTGACAAGCAGGTTTCCTGACACCTCAGTCTGAGGAGCAGGAGGTCTGTGTTGGAATGTTGTTGTTGTTGTTAGGTGCCATCGAGTCGATCTCTACTCATAGTGATCCCATGTGACAGAGTAAAACCGTCCCATAGGTTTTTCTAGGCTGTAAACTTCATGGGAGCCCATCACTAAGTCTTTCTCCCCACGGTGCTGCTTGGTGGGTTTGAACTGCCAACCTTTTGTTTAGCAGCTGAGCACTTAACCATTACACCACCAAGCCTCCTTGTATTGGAATGGGTATGGTTTAAATTCAATGACTTCTAGGGATTTTGAGGGCTAAGTCTGAGAATCATTTGATATACCATTCTAGACTCCACTGCAATTACCCAGGATGGTATGGACCCATATTGCGTATCCCACTTACTGAGGGCAGAAAGTGGGCTGAGGGTACCTCGAAAAGTAAGCTCTGTCCCCAAGCTGAAGAACTTTCCAGAGCTTTAGCTACTTTCAAGAGGCATTGGGGTAAGAAGTTGGGGGAAGTGTTGAAATAAAAGACAGTTGCCTTTTTAAAAATCTGCTGATGAAGACTGGGGCATTTCAGTTGGATCTCCAGGGAACAAGCCTGCATCTTTTTCCTGTATGTGAGTTTTTCTTTTCAGGGTCATTTTCAACTTCCATGGATGTGAAAGTTTACTAGAAAGTGGGGGCTAAACTTGTGGTGCTAAGGGAGCATTGCTGGCAGAGGCAGGAAGCCCTTTAACCCCTCAGACTTAAGGAGATGGTGCACAACATGTGTGGGGGTGGTAGCGGTGGTGGGAGTTTCACAGCCATACACTCAGCTGGAGTAAGGAAGCAGAACAAAATGGCAGATGTGTTAGACATGTTCAGTGGTCTCCTAACTTTTGGAGAATGACTGGTTCAAGTCCAATGTTTTAAACATTTGACTTCTTTCTTTTTATGGAATATTTCAGGTGTAGGTTTTGCAGGCAAAACCTGGAATGTCTAAACTTTGGGAAGGCCTATGGAGAGGTCCCCAAAGACAGACCACATATCAACATCAGGAAAGCACCCATCAGCAATGGCCCTACCTCTGTTGCTGAGCTCTCTGTGCAGTATCCAGAGGGCAACAAAGAGGTGGGACTCCAGCTAGGGAAAGTACAGTAATGACCAGCCAGATAAGCATCATTTCTCCCCTGCTGATACTCAGAACCCTTACTCAGTCTACCAGCCACTGGAGAGCAATTCACAGGTGTGCGGAAGAGTTTCCTTAAGGTTCCCACACAGTTGGCAGTGACTCTCCTTGTCTCTTGGCTCTCGTAACTCTGAAACATTCTTGTTCGGGGATAATAGGACCATGTCACTCCTCTCCTCAAAGGCAAATTGGTTTTTGCTTGTGATCATGCTCCTGAATATCTTACTTCAGTCATTTGGGGATTGTGATAAGCTATCCTGTGTAGGCTGTGAGGCCCTTAGATAATATACAAGCAACAGGACTTGGAAAAATGAATCAATATTTATTGTGTGGAATGGATCTCATTACCACTAC